AAACAATAAAAATACTAAGTTAGATATACAAATAATATACCAAAAACTACAAATTATATGCAATAAACAGACATGATATTAAACAGGGAAAATATAGCCAAATATGTTTCAAACTAGCTCGGTATTCACCCAAGTCATTATTCTATCATAGTTCTTGAATACATCAGATAACATTCCAGAACTAAGCATAAGTATAAACATTTAAAAGGACAACATATAGGTTTAGTGCAGGTTCAAGGACAACATTCTAGAAGAGTAGTAGTTTATTCTTGAAACTTAAATTCGCAACACGAAAATCGCAACTCAAAAATGAAATTCACAACATGAAAATCGCAACTCAAAAATGAAATTCGCAAGTCGAATTTTGAATTCACAACTCGAATTTCATTTTCGAGTTGTGATTTTCGTGTTGCGAATTTCATTTTCGATTTGCGATTTTCGTGTTGCAAATTTAAGTTTTATGCAAATTGAAGCTTGAATCAAGTGTATTACTTCAACCAAAAAACAAAGACAAATACCAACTTCACAAGGTTAAAGACTAAACTGTTTACCAGTATTGGCAGCAACCGAATGAATTTACTAAGCAATCTAAGTGAAATGGTTAATCTATACATTGAAATTATGAGTAAATTTAACATCAATTTAAATATGAAAATGATTAATTATCTAATAATAATACAAAAAATTCAAAATAAAAATAATTAAAAAAACTAACCTTCGGTGGTTGATTTTCTATTTGTGGATGTGAATTGTTGTGAGAAGGTGGTTGTAAGAGATGGAGATGGAGGGGGTCGCCGAATATGGGGACGGATGTCGTCAGAGATGGGGACGGATGTCGCCGGAGAGAGTGAGAGATGGAGATGAGACTGAGTTGCGATTTAGGGGTTTAGGTTATGAGTTGCGATTTACGGGATATACTATTTACATTTGTGTTGCGAAATTAAAAGCTGGTTTTTGAAATTTAAATTCGCCTTGCGAATTCGAAATTCGAGTTGCAAAAATAAAATTCGCGTTACGAAATTAAAACGCGCTTTGCGAATTAGAAAATCTTGTTGCGAAAAGGAAATTTGTATTGCGAATTTAAAAATCGAGTTGCGAAAAAGAAATTCGTGTTGCGAAATTGTCAAATTCGTGTTGCGAAATTGTCAAATTCGAGTTGCGAATTCCAAATTATGTGTTGCGAATTTGGAAACTGTGTTGTGAAATTGGAGTTCTTGTTACGAATTCAAAATCGAGTTGCGAATTCGTTGGTTATTTTTGCAAATCCAAAAAAAGTTGGTTAAAATCGTATATTATAAGTTATTTTCGGTCACTCAAGTTTTTTTCTCTATAATATATTAGTAATAATATTGTTATAAATAATATTAAATAAATTATTCTAATATTTTAAAATTATTATTAATTTTTATTAAATAATATTATTTATTGTATTTGATGTTTATATTAAATAATTTTTTTAAAATTTTACCAACCAGTGAAAAATGAATTACATAACATCATCAAAGCACCATAAAACGATTTTCATAAAAAAAATTGGGTAAAGTATGTAATGGTCACTGAACATTTCTGAAGCTTGCATTTAGGTCCCCTAACTTTTAAAACTTGCAATACAGTCCCCAAACATTTATTCCGTTTGCAATATGGTCCCCCAACTTAAACCCCCATTAGAAAATTAGGGTAAATTATATAAACGGTCATTGAACTTTTCAGGCACTTGAATTTAGGTCCCCCAACTTTTAAAACTTGCAAAATAGTCCTCAATTTCATTCTAAACCCCAATTTCCAAAATAATTCAATTTTATTCTAAACCCTAAATTCCAAAATAATTCAATTAAATTATAAACCCCAAATTCTAAAATACTTCAATTTAAGGTTTAGAAAATAAATTTATTAATTATTTCAAATAAACACATATTGATATAATATATAATTTATAAAAATTCAGAATATTATTTTACCATGTCATATTGAACCTAGATCCACCTATTTATAATAACATTTCAATAGAAAGACGATTCAAAATATTTTAAAAATATATATTATTTTTTACTAAACACGTGACTTTATGGAATTATGAAAGTGGCGTTGTCTTGATGGAATAATTTTTGTCAATGCGTTAAGTGAGTTTGTAAAACATTTGACAGAAAAATATAGTTGCATGCATACATCAGAACTACGCTTGTAGACCTGCTAGTAGGAAAACCTTTGCCAGTAAGATAACGGTCAAAATAAATACCGGAAAGCAATAAAGTTCTCAATTCATACATCCATGTAAATTTATTTGAAAAATAGGAGAACCAATGACCAAGAAGCTAATTTCAAGGGGGAAATCAACAAAATTACACATGCATTAAACATTTTGAATACATAGCCTCAACTGTAGATTATGCATTGAAGCTTGAACAAAATAGAATGTCAAAAGCCAGAGGAATATGTAAAGGAGCACAACACTTCCATGAATTTAACTATGATTAAAGACTATTGAAATCCCTTAGCTTCTCATCTCCAAGAAGGGTCAGCACTATGATATGACAAACTATGGTGAATGTAGAAAATAATGTGAATTATGATTCATAGCTTCGTACCTCTACCAAAGGAGCATCACACTGTTCAGGTTCCATAGGTATTTATAGCAATTTGATTCTCATTAAATCATAAATGTACAGCAAATAGTGCGTGTCTTCTCTAGCATATATGTCATCACAAAACATATAATAAAAGCAAAGCAATTAGGAGAAGTAAAACAATGAAAGCATAAGTCAACAAATTGGTAGGTATCCGACACAAATTTTCACTTCAATTCAGGCAAGTAATTCATGTATATCTAATTGCACTCAAAACTATGCCTAAGCATTTCCATAAAGACAATGGCATTTAAAGTACAGAAATTAGGCTCTTTAATATGCAGTAAGCAGTAACATTCCCAAGCCTATAATATATTTAACATCTTCAATGAGTTCCAATGAGATTAGCATCTTCTTAATCATCCAAAATTTGTGTTACTATACCATAAGTCCAGAGTTGTCATGTATAGTCTGAGATACCAATTTCCTTCCCCCTAATTTATTGATAAGTGCTAATAACCCCAATAAATAGCTTCATAGAAACACTAATAGTTTAACAGAAAATTATCAAATTAAATCCTCAAGTTCAGAGAAGTGACAAGTTGACAATACAAACCTGTCCAGTGTCAAAGAGATTGCATATATATATGCAAAAGTCCCGCTGAAGCCACACAATATCCCGGTCTACTCCATGCATAACCTATGTGAATTAAGGATGTCAAAAGAATGCAGGAAGACAAATAAGAAAAAAAGTTACAGCCATCAAAGAGGCCAACCTTGTCACGTGTTTATATTTTTCTATCAAATGTTTTACAAACTCACTTAACGCATTGACAAAAATTATTCCATCAAGACAACGCCACTTTCATAATTCCATAAAGTCACGTGTTTAGTAAAAAATAATATATATTTTTAAAATATTTTGAAACGTCTTTCTATTGAAATGTTATTATAAATAGGTGGATCTAGGTTCAATATGACCTGGTAAAATAATATTCTGAATTTTTATAAATTATATATTATATCAATATGTGTTTATTTGAAATAATTAATAAATTTATTTTCTAAACCTTAAATTGAAGTATTTTAGAATTTTGGGTTTAGAATTTAATTGAATTATTTTGGAATTTAGGGTTTAGAATGAAATTGAATTACTTTGGAAATTGGGGTTTAGAATGAAATTGAGGACTATTTTGCAAGTTTTAAAAGTTGGGGGACCTAAATTCAAGTGCCTGAAAAGTTCAATTACCGTTTATATAATTTATCCTAATTTTCTAACGGTGGTTTAAGTTGAGGGACCATATTGCAAACGGAATAAATGTTTGGGGACTGTATTGCAAGTTTTAAAAGTTGGAGGATCTAAATGCAAGCTTCAAAAATGTTCAGTGATCATTACTATACTTTACCCAAAAAAATTCTAGAAAATGTAATTTGTTTTACATAATTCATTTTTCATAATATATTTTCCGTGAAACAAACGAAACATTAATTTTATCATCATCCTCCGTAATGTATTCATTTTTATTTATAGTGCATCATAAATTTTAAAATGAATAGTTATATACAAAACCAACTAAATAAGTTGTAGACCCAAGAAAGTGAGGAAAAAACTGAAGTCAGTTAAAAAAATGGTTGCCTTTTCTTGAGATAAAATTTATAGATGTAAATTAGAAGCTATCAACGCTCAGTTGGCGTGCCGGAGTGGTTATCGGGCATTATTAGAAATCATGTGAGCTCTGCCCGCGCAGTTTCGAGTCCTACCACTCCCTATTTTTGTATTTCTTGAATTTTAGCTTTTCTTGCATCTGACTTTTTGAGCCTCGAAGTCAATTTTGCTCTTATAAAATGATGGCAAATCTTGTTGCCGGATCCAAATAAAGCAAAGCCATATTTTATACAAATTAACATTGGGTTGATATAACATCTCAAGTTTTGCAAAACTATTGCTTATAGTCTTATACCGCCATATAATTTACACTTACACAAATCCTGATTCTCTAAGACAATCTTCTACTTAATTTTTGTGGATGATGTCCAAAAGATAGCAAACAATTCTCCTCAAAACATGGAATATTTTCTCCTTTCCCCACGGGCCACCTTTGCTTATCTGCGTTTTCCCTAGACCATCCAACAGGGACATGTGGAGGATGGTTTTCATTGGGTTCCCAAAAGATTTAACACATTAATAATCGATACAAATTCGATTAACCATCTTGCATCTCATTAACTCCACCGTATGTTTACTCCATTATTATTGACTTACAATCCGGATATAAGATTTTATATTTTGGAAAGAACTTATAAATAAGAGTGAATTTATAAAATTTCATAAGCGAAAGCAGATTATCAATTAAAAAAAATAGAAAGAATCTAAAATATTGGTGAATTTAAAAAAAATTTAGTCTCCGCCCGCTCATCTATCCATCCACGTGAACAATGGAAACAGTAGAATATCCACATGCACAGGTGAAAGGAAACAATGTAGGAAGTAGCCTCAAAGATAAACTAGGAGACGTGTGGGGATGGAGAAAAATCCGCCGACTCTTGTGCTGCGTTTCCCATTCTTTTCTCTCTCTTTTGTTTTCCTTTTGATCTTCTTCCATCGACCTGCCAGCTAACAATCCCAATGCAATCATATTATATTATATAATTTGCTAGTTTCATTACGTCTATACAATAACAACACCTGTATTTAATCCGCGGGTTTCTTGTAGGCCTTGTAGGGGAAGTTGTGTTCCAATGGCACTTGCCAAGGACCCTTACCTGCTCTCTTCAATCCTCCGAGCCTTACAAATTTGATGAAGGAGGTGACTTGGAGAACCCTGGTGGGATTGTCAAGAATTTTCCGATGATTAGTTCGGATTCCGACGGTTTCGTGTTCCGGCCTCCCAAGGAAGTCCACTCTTTGATCAACTTCAAAGGTTCGGTGTATGATGGTTTCGTTCATGGGACTAATTGTGGATCTCTTCTTAGCTTCGAGCACAATGACAAGGCTCTGCATGATGCTTACTTGAAAACCAGCAGTCATAAAGATGATTACTCGATGTGGGAGAGTGGTTCAAATCTGAATTATCCATGGAATCAGATGAACACGAAGAGCGGTACCGATCCTCGCCTGCTTGAACATTTTAGCTGCATTGAAACTGCTAGCGGTTTTAGTTCCATAACAAAAGAGAGCAGCGGAGATTGGTACTACTGTGAAGCAGCAGTGGTTGCTGATAGTATCCCGGGGTTACAAGCACCCGAAGCACCCGGCGTCAAGCGTCCGAATACTGTACTATTCTTCTTTTTCCATTCAATCCAAATCATTAACAGTCAATTCATATAAGATAGCTTCTGATTTTACTGCCGATATATTTGGTGTTTTATAGGGAGACAGCAATCAAGCTTTGACGAAACAATGCTGCAACGATGCTAAGAAGGCGAAAACTAAGTCCGGTCCATCAAAGGACCCCCAAAGCATTGCAGCCAAGGTTTGTTGACATGAATTTTAAGTAAATTTGGCTAAGTTTGACATCAAAGTAAGCAAAATCCATAATGAAAATGAACATATAGAGATTGTTTCAATCTCCAGAATCGACGTGAGAGGATCAGTGAGCGGTTGAAGACACTACAAGAACTGGTATCCAATGGCTCCAAGGTAAAGAAACTGATATTTGCAAATTGCATTTATGGTAAAAGCTGGAAACTGTATGTATGTATGTATGTATTTTATTGTTCATTTGACAGGTTGATCTGGTTACCGTGCTGGAGAAGGCAATTAGCTATGTCAAGTTTCTTCAGTTGCAAGTGAAGGTGAGAGACTTTCAGCTTCTGATCATTGCTTTTAACTGATCTTTAAGCATTGCATATGATATATGCAGGTGTTGGCAACAGATGAATTTTGGCCAGTTCAAGGTGGGAAAGCTCCTGATACTTCTCAAGTTAGGGAAGCCATTGATGCAATACTCTCATCTCAGAAGGACAGGGAGTAATGGGATCAAAGTCTAACAGACTTTAATTTAGACTAATGTTAATTGAAGGACAACACCCAGGCAATGAAAAGCCTTTTGCTTCTGTGCTATTGAAAAAGATGTTGCAACAGATATTTCTTCTTTTGTTTAACTAAGATTTCCAACTTAATCACTTTCCTTTACATGTAAACAATCTCCTCCACATCTATTAATTAAACAGTGACTAGCTCTCTGCTAGTTTGCTCATATAAGGGGACCATCCGACTCAATATGACATTTATCCAGGATTAATCACATGCTAACCCCTCTTAAAGTGGAGAACAGAATTTTAATTAAAATTCTTTCAAAACTCAAACAGAAATAGTTTAATTTTCACATACACAAGATAAACAATGGGGGGGGGGGTTAATAGCATCTTTTACCTCAGCAAATACCTTCAAAAGTATATAAATTAAACATCATGTGGCATTGGGGAATTTGATAATATACAGTACAACTCAAATGGCTCAAATAACGGGACTACATAAAATATAGACTAAAGTTGGAAAAAGGATGGAATTGATGAGTGTGGTCCAATTTGAAGGCAGATTCAAGAATAAATTTAAAGATATTTCATGTTGACAACTTTGAAGACAAATTAAGCTTTCATTAGCCAACGCTTGCTTATTTTATTTGTTTTGGCAAGGTCTGGAACGTGGAAAACCACTAAAGTATCATGTGGGAATTTGACTTGAACTGTCTTATGAGTGAAACATAAAACATGCACATTGGGTTTCATCGGTTAATTCCTCAACAAACCATCTGACTTCATAAATATATAATTAGCTAGGGTGTAAATGAACCGAGCTTGAATGAATAAGGTTATGTTCATGTTCGTTTATTTATTTTTGAAGGTGTTCGTGTTCGGTTCGTGTTCGTTTAAATTTTTAATATCGTGTTCATGTTCGCTTTTTTATTTTTGAAGTTGTTCGTGTTCGTTTATTTTTTGTTCATGAACATGTTCATTTAATGTTCGCGAACGTGTTCATGAACATGTACGTTTAGCATTCGTTTAATGTTAGCGAACATGTTCGTTTATATGTTCACGAACATATTCATGAACATGTTCGTTTAGCGTTAATTTAGTGTTCGTTTATCATTTGTTTATATATTCGATTTTTAATTTCATTTGCGAGTTAAAGAACAATGATAAAATTACGCCACTGTGCTTAAACTCCTTGAAATTCATAGTTTACAATTACGCCACTAATTAAATTATTCTTATTAAGTAAAGATTAAAAGGGTAAATTATACTTTAATACTTACACTATTATTTTTATTTCGTTTTAATACCAAAACTTTATTTTTTAAAACTATTTTTTTAATTTTCACATCATCTTTCTATTTCTCCATCAATACTTTTTAATTAATTTTGTTCAACTGATTAAATGGTGACACATCTCACCAACTATGGGAATAAAATAATAGAAATTATTCTTGCTCTTAGCATGAATTAAACTTAGGATGTCATTTAAGTTAGTCATTTAAGTTAATTTCACTACATTTTGTTTTTAACTTATATAATAGTTGTCATAACCGTCCTTCGGATGGGCCCGGAATCGGATTCCGACTTAATTTCGATGTGATGGAGCCGCTACCGATTATTTATAATTAGGTTGATCAGATACCGTTCTACCTGATCTGCGTTTTACCAAAAATATGTCGGGTTCGCGAGTCGGTTACAATCAAGGAAGGATTAGCACCCTTGTACTGTCCTTTCGGTACCAATTTAATTTTCCGGGTGTCTTAATGCGAAAACTAAAAGTTAAATTAAAAATTAAAATTCAATCTGAATTAATTACCTTTGATCGATTAAAATTGCCCCTAAAAAGGTCAAAAACATTAGATTATAAAATAAAATAAATATTAAATAAATCAAAGAAGAAGGTCAACTAAGAAATTAACAAAAAAAATGTTAAAATAAAAAGATAAATAAAATAAAGTAACATGAAGAAAAATATTAAATTTTAGAAGAAAATAAAAAATAATAAGATATATAAAAAACGTCAAAAGATAAAATAAAAAAGGTGTTAAATTTTAAAAGAAATAAAAAAGAAATAAAAAATTTAAAGGATCAAATTAATTCTGGGAATGAGCTGTAAGAGAAAAACAAAAGGTTAGGGGACTAAATTGCAAAATATAAGAAGTATATTCAAGGGTTGAATCGAAATAATTCAAAATTCATGGGTCAATTTATCACAGGTGACCAAAATGAATTACACATCAAAGTTAGAGGGACTACGGAAATAATTTAAGAATTTGCTAATTTACAAAGGCCCTCCCTATAAATAGCCCATAAAACCCAAAAAAAATCATTTCAACCTCATTTCTCAAAAATAACAATCTCCCTCTCTTCCAAACTCTCCCCCCTCTCTCCTATAGCCGACCGAAAACTGACCACCTGTCGGTGACCACCCGCCGTCTGGACTACCGCTGACCGCCGCTCTGGCCACCACCATCGGTGGCCGAAAAACCCAAACTTACCCTCGAGCTTCCTCTCGACCCTATGAAGCAAAATTTGAGCCCCAAACACCCTAAAAACACCTCCTCTGTCGTAGATCTAAACACAAAGTTTCGGGTTTTTTTTTGTTTTGCCTTTTTCGAAAAGGTTTCTAAACTTTCTCGGCGACTATTCTTCCGACGATGCTTCTACATGCTCCGATGACCTTCAACGAAACAAAGGTTTAATCTTTTGTTTTGGATTTCGAATGTTTTTGCCCTTTTTTTGCTTGGATTTTCGTATATTTGTTGTATATTGCTCGGATTTTTTTGTTGGATATATTGGTATTTTTTGCTTGATGTTGTGCTCGATGGTATTTTTTGGTATCTTGCTGCCCGTTTCTGTGTTACTATCTTGTCGTTCCTTTGATGGCTTGGTTGGAGACTTTTTATAGCCTGGAACACGACCGTTGTAGCTCTGAAATAGGTGGGACCTCCATCCAATTCTTTCACTGAACGTTCGGCTGAGTTTCATTCGTGCAGGCTGTTACACCGACCTTGCAAAAATCCTGGCCGATTTTCAAACCGTGTTGACGTGTAGCCTCCACGCGTGCTCCCATATGGCATCTTTCCTTAATACGAAACCCTAGTTTGATTTTTTGGGTTGGGTCAGGCCCCTTAATCGGGTTAGTTTATTGGGTCTGGCCTACTAGCTCGGTTGGGTTGCACTTTGGACTGGATTGGACCTGTTAAAATTTAATTAAGTAATAAATAATAATAATAATATAACCTAATATATAAATAATAAAATGAAATAGAAATAAAAAGAAAAAGAAAAAAATATATTTTACTTCCCAAAAACAATATAATATATTAATATTTTCAAAAATCGTTTTCAAAAACCATTTTTAAAAAATGTTTTCAAAACCGATTTAAAAATTATATATTATACGTTTTCAAAACTGTTTTAAAAACTATATATTATACGTTTTCAAAATTATCTTAAAAACTATTTAATATATGTTTTCAAAATGGTTTTAAAAACTATATATTATACATTTTTTAAAAGTAAGTTTCCAAAAACTATATATTATATATTTCAAATACTATATTTATTATGCTATATAAAAACCCCGAACGAAAATACGTGTCTACAGTTGCCCCTCTTTGCCCATTTATTGTGTAACGAAAATAGGGCAAAGATACAAATACACATATTTTCGTTCAGTAAGAAGAGGGTCCAAAAGCGAATTTGCTCATGTGAGTATGATATCTTTCTCTGTGATTGAAATCTAACTTATCGAATATCTTCCATCGCGGAGTTGAAATTCGACTTGAAAATTCTAATAAATCATGGATCACTGCTGTTGAGCTGAATTACGGATGATTCCTTCATCATGAAGTTGAGTCGATCTTGGATGCTTCAGACATGATATCCTTCGCTGTGAAGTTGAAATCTAGCTCAAAATCTGAATTGAAAAATGGCTTCTTGTTGCCAAATCGTAGTCAACCTTGGTCTTCTTCTTGGCTTAAAGACCTTGGTTTGTAAATTCGACAGGAAAGTAGTCCCTCGCCGCTACCATGTGGTTGATATGCTCTCGAGCTGAATGGAATCGAACTCGAAAGTCTTCGTTGACAGATAACCCTTCTCACCTTGAGCTATGTTGTAAATTGGGCTAGGAGATAGTTCCTTGTTGTTGCAGATGACTCATTTGTTGTGAAATTAAGTTGATCTGTTGGATACGATATCCTTCATCGTGAAGTTGAAATCGTGGGTGACTCCTTTATCGTGAAGTTGAGTCTAGATTAAATAAAATTGCCTTGGGCCAGATATCCTTCATTGTGAAGTTGAAATATAACTTGGATAAGTTGCATTAAATATTCTTGAAATTGGCTCTGAAAAAATATGCAATATTACGCATATATGCGATGCTATGGATGTGATGTTCTTATGTATGCCTAAAATGCATATGCAATATGTTATTTTAGGGTTTAAAGAGAAATCTCAATCTCCTACTGTCGATTCTGATGGCTTTCGACTTTTGACAAACTTGAATTTCTAATTCTTGATTTCGGATTCTCTGGTATATATTGGGGTTTGATCTGACACCCACTCTGGAAGTTTTGTAAAAAGAAGCTTTATTTATGGTCTTGATTTAATCAACGTCACTGCAGTGAACTAGCACCAATATTTCGAGTATGGTGCAAAAACCTTTATCGGCTTCTGAACACCTGTACCTTTTGGAAAACCTTTGTACAGTAATACACAATTATCTTTTCAAAAGTGAATAAATCATTCTTATTTAAATTCAATCTAAGACGCTTGCAAGGAATTGATTTTTTTAAAAAGAAATGACTATATTTGTTTATGAGGAAAAAAGACAAAGAGTACATGGCAAACATTTTGAAAAGTCAATACATAAAAGAGATTCAAGTAAATGCCCTAGATCTCGAAAATGTGGACGCCTTTGAACTAACACACCGTTAGATGACTTTTGAGTACAACTTTTGTCAAGAGGACTTCGAAGATGTGACAACGTTTG